TAGAAATAAATCCTTATGAAATAATAAACACTGCTCTGATTGGAAATGCTTGCTGCGTAATTGCAGGCTAATCCTTCTGCGCTTGATGCATCTCTATGAGCACAAAAGATCCTCTGTAAGAATGCATAAAAAGATGCGTGTCATTAGCACCCATGCTAAGCTTGTCAGTATAAGGATGCTCAGAATGTGTAAGCAGATATATATTTGTATGCATTTGTTAAGGTACTGGTCTGGCACGTTCAGTATCCACTGAGTCAGACAAAGGAGAGGGGGTGGAACAAACCATTCAGAACAATTTAACCGCAATATCTAAATTACTAAAATAAATATATGACACACCACAAAACCAGCTGTGAAGGTTGAATTTTTTTAATCTGGTGTATTAGATAATGAACATGGAAGATGACTAATACTCTGATGCAAGCCGGGTATCAGCATAAAATGATGGTGAAGATGAGATTATTTTTCCTAAATTGGCTTACATTATACCGATTGTGCAAAAAAAAAAAAAAAAAAGTCCAATTAAGCAGTCAGTCTATAAGAGGTACTGCAGTGACACGCCTGTCACAAAGTCAGCAAAAATCTATACACTCAGTGCCCTGAGCAGCGCCCCCTATTGCCTGCTCAGTTCAGGCGCTGGTTGATTTCCACCTTCTTTCTATCAGCCTCGGTGTTTAACACAGAGAGGGGATGAAAAGAAGGGTCCCCCCCTTATCACTGATCGTAGCGTCAACCAGAGGGGCAGAAAAAGACATACAGAGTGGGGTTTTTTTTCCAGGAACACCTCAGCCTCTGTCCAGCGCTTAGAGTGGAATCAGAAGCTACAGCTCTGGGGGTGGGTACTGAGAGCCAGTCATGCTCCTCCTGCATTTGTCTCCATCTCAAGAATTTGGCATGAATACATTAAAAATATAATCCTCAGTTTGAGCAAAGCAAGAACAGGGAGCATCAAATTTGGCACTCTGCTTTGACGTAACAGTCTTTTAGGTATGGTGGGAAAACTAATAGGCCTAAACATTAAATTGCTCAACTATTCTGCAACTGGGGGACCCAGTGACATGTGAAAGCATGTGGTTCGCCATCTATATATAAATTCCTGAAAGTCCTCACAGTCCTTCATGCAAGCTGTAAAACATGTTTGAAAAGCACCATGCATGCTCCTGTACAAGGTGCAAATGTACTTTCTAATACTCAAATACACGTTCGCAATTCACACACTTCTTAGAGCAACAGACAAAGTCTTCGCACTGCTATTTCCACAAAGACACTTTACGAGGAAGAGTGTGTCTAAATGCATCTGACACATGGTGGACGTGCTGCAAGACTGAGTCCATAACGTTGGGCAAGATATATCCCAGGGGTTTTACATAAGAGGGTTGGTTCCCATTGTCTTTGCAAGGACAGAAAACCTCAAAAACACACAGTCCACAGTGCTCCCTCCAATTTGGTCATGGTACACTTCTGATTAAAGGGGGGAAAGGCTCTCCCTAAACCGGAGAGAGAGAGAGAGAGAGAGAGAGAGAGAGAGAGAGAGAGAGAGGAGGGAGAGGAGAGAGAGAGAGAGAGAGAGAGAGAGAGAGAGAGAGGGAGAGGGAGAGGGAGAGGGAGAGGGAGAGGGAGAGGGAGAGGGACAGAGAGAGAGGGAGGGAGAGAGAGAGAGAGGGAGGGAGAGAGAGAGAGAGAGGGAGAGAGAGGGAGGGAGAGAGAGAGAGAGAGAGGGAGAGAGAGAGAGAGAGGGGGGGCTGGTTGGGGGTGTGGGTGGTGTGGGGGCTGTGGATAGATCAAAAAGGTCATTACACATTCCTCTCTGCGGTGAAATTTGTGATCGAACCTCCCGGCATCCCTGACGCCGCTTGGCCAGCTCAGCTGGGTGTAAACACCCACAGGCCTTGCATTCGCTGTGGGAGCAGGCCTTCCAACCCCCTCCCCCGGACCCCCGGGAGGACATACGCAGTAATTAGCTGTCAGCGCTACGCCAGCCTTCTGCTGCGGCCGGTCCGAAGCGTGCCCTCTGCCCTCTCCTGCCATCGTCACCTTAGACCCCGTGGCTACCTGCTGCGACGTGATGACACACCTCACCAGCTGAAACCTTCATCATAACGCTGAGGATGCTCTCACTCCTGTGTTTGCTTTCTGCCACTGGCAGAAGGAAGAGAATGATTCCTGTTCCAGCTCCTATCCACGGACTCCTACCCTGATAGATAGCGCTATGCAACTAGACAATGTGTGAAATTGTCACTCCCTCTCTGCCTTCAAGAAACATCTGAAGACACAGCTCTTCTGCTCTCACCTGAGCACCTGAAACACTTCCCCCCTAAAGGAATGTCTCATGTCTCAAAACTGTCTCCTACTAAACTATGAAATGAAATTTTAAAAAAAATGTAAACTACCAGTTTAACGCACTTTGCCAGCTAGTTTGTACCTTGCCTGGCCAACCACTGAAACCTGGTCATGCAGTGCTTCTAATATTGCTGACTCCTTATGGTTTTTTGCTTGTGCTGTTCTCTGCCTCACCTGTAAGTCGCTTTGGATAGAAACGTCTGCCAAAGGAATAAATGTAAATGTACCAAAATATTGCAGGTTTTGATTAATAAAGGCTATATCTGTAGAGAGCAGCATACAGTCCTACCCTGACAATGATTCTGAAATCATCCATACCCAGAATAGCAACCTCATGGCCTCCCACAGATGCATATGACCACCGCTGGTACACAGAGTTCTTTCAGCCGAGCTTAAATTCAACATTCGCATTCACAGTTCCAGGCAGCTACACCAGCTACTTCCACAGACACAGGGGAGAGGACTGGCTGCTCGGTAATGTGAGGAAGATTTGAGTCTCTCCTGCTGCAGAGTGTCTTCAGCAGTGAGTGACTGAGTTCTGCATTGTGGCACTAAAATAAACCAGACCCCAGGGAGAGCAATCAGGAAAAAACATATATATATATATATTCACTTCTTTCTATACAGGGTTCAAAGCCACTCCTGAATCTGCATAGCAAATATTTATTAAATTTAAAGCTTACAGAGGGTACTTAGCTAGCTCTAAGCAAATTAGAATGCTCTTTGCAAAGCAAGCCTTTTTCTAAACCAAAGTCATTAATAGATTATTAAATTCAATTTGTAATGCCATGCAGCTCAGAATACACACATCTGCCACTGATAATTTAGAGTTCGCGCGTGTGGCAGGGAATCATTAAAAATGTGAAGCCTTGCGCCAAAGCGTATTTCACTGCTAAATCTTCCCCCGACAGAGTTTCTAGGATAACAGTGATAATTACAATTTGGCCACGGGCAAGATTCTGGGTAGGCAAACACATCCGCCTGTCAAAGACCAATTCCATCAGTTACCGGCAGAGAGAAGCCAACTCTGACGCTTTCCCATTAGGACGCTGTGCGTTTCTCAATGGAAACGCTGGAAAAAAAAAAAACTAAATAAAAATGCGCAAAACTGATGAGTTGAATTCTCCATCAGAAATGAACAGTCTAAGAATCTGGGAGATAAGAAGAGAAATAAACAATATACTCCCCAAAGCAATCATAATGTATAACCTTAAAAAGACAAGAACTTGTGGATTTTTGTTTTTATTTTTTTTAAGAGAACAACACACATCCCTGGTTGACATTTCTCAAATAATTTAGGACTACACCTTGATTTACTTCCCTATGCAAGTCTATGAAGTGAACAAATGTCCCAATCTGTGCAAGGATATAAAACTGATGAACCGCCCCCAGTTAAACACCCAGCCGTGCAGACAGCATGTACAATGTTGGCCACAGAAGTCGCTACTGACCACATACACAATACAATGTAACATGTACACTTAAGTGCCAGACGAGGCTGGCAAGTCGAAAGGATGCATTATGACACAGAGCGTATGGCCGTCTCAAGACTCATCGCAGCGTCCTGTCATCAGCACTGAAACACAGGCACGGCCCACGAGACGCACGCTCTGCAGAGGAGTATCTCAGATGACCTCCCTCTCCCTCCAAAACACTCCAGGATTCAACAGGAGGGCCAAAAAAAAAGGCGTGAAGTCATGCCCCCGTGAACACAATAACCCCATTCATTCCCTTCACTCCACCTCCTCTTCCTCTTCAGCGAGAAAAAAAAAATTTGCCTAAAAACAGCAAGATTGCGATCACACTCTGCCCTAGTCTCTTTATAAAAACCCTTTAAAGCCGCCAGGTGAAGGTTAACGAGCACATGTGTGACACCAGCGCTGGGTACTTGTGATACAGCAAGGAGAAACATAAAGGAAACATAAAGGTTATCGAAAAGTTTCCAGTGTCCTACAAGTGGTGGTGAGGGCCGCCAGAGCAGAACATGATCAAAACAACCGTGATTCTCTGAACTGCCGCCGCAGAGACTAAGGCAATCAAATGAGAGCCAACACAGAGGAAATGGCTAGCATTCACAGCCTGCATATCACTCCCCCACACCCCCACCCCCCTTCCCCAATTTCATGTTTTCAATCTGTACTAACAATCGTGGGCACATTTTGGCAAGGATTCCCTTGTGTGGCATGCAGCCGAGGTCAAAGAACTTGAAAACAGGCTGGTGGAGACACGCATACTCAATTATGGAACAGTGATGAGGAGGGCTGGCTACAGGAAGCCCTGCTCTTCAGAAACACACATTACAGCACATCAGCGCTGAATCCTGCCTCTATGCACCTCACCCCACTCTCACAAGAGACGTTCTGGGTGGTTTTAAGAATGGAACTCTTCAGCCCAAACTTCTCATTCTCTACCTGCGACAGACAGTCACACAACCAGCTTTCATTTCGCAGATGCTCTCATCAAGAGCGACTTATATCAGTTAGTTTTTTTTTTTTTTTTTACAATGTTATCCATTTACACAGCTGGATATTTACTGAGGCAACTGTGGGTCAAGTGCCTTGTCCAAGGGTACAGCAGCAGTGAGGGGAATCGAACCAGCAACGTTTCGGTTACGATTCCTGCTCCTTAACCACTATGCTAGACTGCCTGTCCCTAAAAGTTGTTTCTGCCTGGTGTTGAACTGGGGATCTTTTGTATGTTAGGCAAACGTGATGAACCCTACACTACAGCTTTCATCCCCACACACTACAGCTGCTTCACCAATTCCAGAGGCTAGGTGTAGCATGCCAAAACAGGCTATGCTCTGTGCTACATCTTCACTCCTCTTCATGTCATGACTCAGAACTTAAGATGCAGAAAAAGCACTGTGTAGAGTACGCTTCCTGTGTCCCGAGTGAGCTGTTCGGGCAAAGTCTTCAAGACACTTTAGTATCATATATCAATATCGAATGCATGCTTTATTCTTTAATTTAAAAACAACACTCTCAGCCATCACTTTGCAACACCTGTCCAAGTGCTGGCAGGTGTTCCAGCAGGTAGAATACTCATTTCTCAAAACACTAGTCCTGGATCAGTCACTTTTTTTTGCATTAACTAGATGGGAGTCAGGGTTAGAGTTGGATCCTGATCCTGGATCCTGGATCACCACTTGGGTGCACTATCCAGCGGCTGCCGTCCAGTTCGGCAGTTAGTGACACAACGCATGCACCATGTCCCACAAGCTCTCTCCTACACCCACCACTGCTTCACAAATAATAAAACTCAACCCTCTGACCTCTGAAGACTTCCAAACTCATAACCTGACCAGTGAGAAAGAAAGCCCAGATGTGGAAGTTTGGAATAGTTCTCCATTGTTTCTACAGGGACTTTTTTCCGAGCCAAGAAAGAGAAATTTGTTCAATCAGTGCCAAAACAAGCTCCAAACTTTTACAACTCCATCAAGAATGAAAAGCTCCACAATGCTTGTGTTTAGATTAGATGCACTTGCACACCACATGTGGGTCACTGAACAAAAAGGGGCGAATGGTGAACTGCGAAAAGCTAGAACACTCCTCCAACTCACTGCATTCAGGCCTTTAAAAACTTGTCTGAATACCATAATACTCATTCAGCTCTGCTTGTCCTCACATTTCATACACATGATGCAACTTCCTTTGAATTAATCCAAAAAGCAAACACTTTTGGATCAATTTACTTGTTCTGCTATTTACACCTAACACTGGTACTGAACTCAGAAGGCAACACAAGTAAAAGGTCCTTGATAAGAATATGCCATAATACGGGGTGGTAATATTTCTCACTTCACAGGACTTGATTTAATCACTCGAAATAATGGCAAAAAGATGCTAACCAGTGCTAACCAAGGACCCCTCATTGCTATGGCAACAGCATGATTCTCAGCAACTGCGTTCATCAATGAAAGATGTCCGAGACCCCTCAGTGCCTGAAACCTCCCGAAGTGGACATGTTCTCACAGGGGGGGAAAAAAAATTTAAACCATCAATCTGAGCTGGTGGGATGTCCAGCGCATCAAAAAAAAAAAATGCAACTGGCCAAATGTTCACAGATCAAGCTGCAGGTTATCTAAAAATAAGCAGCTGCCTCAGGACAAATGGAAGTGCCTCCCGCACCACAACAAGGCTTAAGAAATGAAAGCGGGTTTATTAAGTGCAGGTACAGGGTAGTTCTGTGAGAAGATGTACACTGAGCGGTGGAAAAATAGTTTATCTGTGTACTGAATGTGTGCTGTGCACTCTCAGAGCCGCTCTCTGTGGGCTCCCCTTCACATTGTACAGATTATAACCCCCTGTTCCCCAGAACGACACCTTGCCTTGCGAGTTCTGCCGCAGAAATGTTTTGATATCCTGGTGCAGATGATCGGGCCTCATTTGCATAAACACGCCCCTCAACAATCAAAGACTCAGAGGACCGATATCAGCCATTCAGAGAAACAGTCTGCGCAGAGTATCCCAGAAGCCGCCAGCTTCCTGAGAAACCCCTACACACGCACACAAAAAAAAAGTTCAGGTTCATAAAACAAGCATTCCATACCCACACCGAAGAAAGGTTTGAAGTTATGCACACAATGTGCTTGAAATTAAATGTACTCAAGGTTTTAGTAAGTGTTCTTAAACTAAAGACTGACTCTTTTTTAAACAAAAAGAAAACGAAAATACATAACTTCAAAATCCTCTGAAAAGGTTCTGAAGATAAGCTGAGCTCAGCCTGGATTTTCTCACTTTATATCTCAGTGCCAGTTATTCTCACAGCTAAGGTTACTGTTTTTTTTTTTGCTTTGTTAAGAAATCATCTGGAAAAGTATGCCAGGTTTGTTTCCAAGTTATCCCGAAAACTAAAAAAATGCTCCTATTCAACTGTAATCCCTCAACCAACTCCTTAATGAATAATTCTGACCTTACTTCTTACATTAACCAGCTCATTAATAATTAATCGGTGTGTGAAAATCTTTTCCTTCTAATCCACACATTTACATCAGAAACCCCCTAAAAAGCCAAAAAGTAGCTGAAAGTGCAGAGGGAGGAGGTACAGAGTCTACCGAAAGCAAAGTGAAGGGGGGGGGTTTGGAGGTATGAAAGGAAATAACCACACCAGTGTTCACGGACATCAAATCCATCACCTACTCATTTCACCATTCAACGTCAGCGACCACATCGGGCGTCATTGAAACACTGGAAATGGTGCACATTTCCACAAACACAGTCCAAATGTACATTTACACTTATTCATTTGGCAGACACTTTTATCCAAAGTGACTTACGAGTGAGGCAGAGTACAACGCAAGCAGAAAACCATAAGGAGTCAACAATGTTAGAAGACCTGCATGACCAAGTTTCAATGGTTGGCCAGACAAGTTACAGGCTGAAATGACAGTTTGGATCTGCCAACTTTGTTGCTAAGAGATCAGCTGTACACCATGTTAGGCGACAACTCCTGAAGTAGTACTGTCCACGCAGCTCATGACATCTCAGGAAGCAAACTGATGACTTTTACATCTGAAGTTTTACACATGAAACTATCACTTGGCATTATTAATAATCTGAGAGTATGATCACAATTATACAATTCAAGAATCAGACAAAATGTGGTCACGGAAACCTCCATCATCAACAGTGAAAATTAAAACTTGAAGAAAAAAAAAGTTCCTAGCTTTTCCAAAAATGAATTCTAATGTTTCTGCCAACAGCTCAGTTGGAAGATCTGTCAGCGTTCATCATAATCATAAATGCAGTGCCACCCTCACGTCACTTTGTGGCACAAACAGTTCTAGCACTTCAACGCAACTTCATTTTCATACGGAGAAAGAGATACACAATATATTCACAGACAAGACTAGAATATGTATGAGGAACACCTTTTCACATTTTTCAAATGGCTAGTGACAGGAACCACAACTGCAAAATTCCTTCACACACTAGTTTGATGCACCAGAAAGAAAACAAATTCCGAATTCTGAACAAAAAGACAGGACAAGACCTTGGTCCTGTATGAGAAGAAATATAATGCTCTGGCTTTCAGTACATGGGTCTGATCAACTGAGTGCCCTTAGAAGCAGACTCTTCCACCCCCTGAAAAGATGACTAAATTGTGTATGCTTATTACATCATGATGAGATATAATACAGCAACACTCGCGGACATACCCAAAAAACCATGCACATTCACGCATTTGAATACGACTGCCATGTGCAACAAAACGTCCAAGCCGGAATAATTCCACGGCATGACTGGCATCACTGGCGACGCGGCACCGCGCGGTCGCGGAGTCTTCCGCCCCGTCCGCCGACCTGTGCTGAACGGGACGCCAGGGCTCGCCGTTCTGGATCCGGGCTCAGCTGGAGGGAGTTTCTCTCAGTGCCGTCTGGTGGCAGGCAGGCCTGTGTGACGCACTCAGAGCCACACTGACTCCCAGCGCAGAGACGCTGCAGTGAAACAACCCAAACGCGCTTCCTCCGAGGGATCGCAGGAGTCCGGCGGGGGGTGGGGTTGGGGGGCCGTCACACAAATCTGCCAAGTTTATTATGTGGCAACAGTGCTTCCTTCCCAGGCCCTGTCCCGCACCCACCAGCCAAGCCGGGTGTGCTCTGCCTTTTCTCCCCTTCAGACCCCCGCCTTCTCCGGGAAGTCTTTTACCCGCCTGTGTGGAAAAAAATCCACATTTTACGCCAATGCAACTTGTGCAGGTTACTTTTCCAGGGGGCCTTTTGCAGTTTCTCCTTTTTTTTTTTTTTTTTGCATCGATTCATTTTCGTTCCTTTTAAATTCACAGAAGGTCTGCGTGTATGCCTTTCTTCATCTTTACTTGTGAGGATACGCGGCCACGTTATGATCTTTTTGAAATAACGTTTGCTTGTTTTTTTGTCCCGGAAGCTTTTTTTTCCCCAGGGGCGGCTGGGGCAGACACTTGGAGACGCACATGCCGCACACACCATCAGAAGGAAGGGAGAATAACCCGTTCTCTCAACTGTAGATGCAGATGTGACTGATACACATCAGAACACATCAAACCAAATATTAATACACTGCAGCTGTAGCAGACGTTTTGTGCTAAAAGGTGTGAGCGGTTGGGGTCCAGGGGATGGGGGGGTCCAAGTGGCAGCATGCTGGATGTGTGTGCAAACAACAGAGTGGCAGATCACAAAAGACCACATGGGCCCCACTTGAAACAGGAGGAGGGGGCTTCAGCCCCCTCTGAGATACAGGCAAGCAAGAAGTGTGTTTAAATCCAGTCCCTTAGGGCTCTAAATATATGTCAATCAATCAATTAAACTTATTTGACATTATTAGCGCACTTTCCCCAATCTGTCAGCTCTTTACATTGTACTGTTTCCGGAGGGATCAAAAGACACAGGGCAAACCCAAATGAGGCTAAAAGGGAATACTTGAGTCCTGATTCCATTACCCCTCACAAATATGCCACTAGAAGGTGAAGTTCAATGCCGCGAAAATAAATAATGTTCCCGATGTTCTTTTTCCCCTCCCCATTTCAAAATCAGATGTCCAAGTCAGTGTTTGCCCATAATGATCCTGTTAGGATTTTTATTTCACTTCAGACTTCACACTGATAACAAGATGTGCCAATTGGTAGAGCATGATGTAGCATATCTGGTAAAGAATAAACATCACTCATTACAGAGGGACAGAGATGAAGGTTCAAGATGTGCTGGCTAACTTAACCAGCCCATCTGCAAATGGCATTAGATGCAATCACAG